CCAAAATGGATGCCCCTTGATGGAACTGGAAAGATAATGTATGCAATTCAATTTTTGAAGGTACAGAGAAGATCATTCATAGAATAAGAAACTGATACAGAGGTGGGAACTTCATTAGATTTTAAATCAACAGACCTTAGTAATGGGCTTATGAGGAGTTGCATGTATTTTTCTCCTTTGATAAGTTCATGTGAATATAAATGTTGCAAATGTTTAGATCTTTTCTTTGTCCTCATGTTGTTCACTCCGATGAGATTTTTAAAATTACCAATAGGATTCTTTTGGTTAAGACAGATGAGCATCTTGGAATGTTCCGTTAACTCTATATTGCAGAAAATGCTTTAAGATACCTGTTGAAAAGTTTGTAACTGATTTTTTTTTCACTCAAAAGCTAAAGTTAATTCAGAGATTTTTTTTTCTTTCCTTATTCATTTTTAAAGATATTATAAATTTACTTTCTCCTTTGTGTTTGTGGGAATTTATGTGCATGTATGAATTCTGATGCTTATTTTTAATTTGGAATTCCTGATTTTTGTTTTTTATAATACCAAAATGTACTATTTTCTAACTATATAGATGACTTTTTATATATAATACATCTGTTTTGAATATCTAAATTACTTTGTTATATTCTTCAAGTTACTTAACATTTTTTTCTTTCAAGCTTTCACCTTGTTGCTATTTATATTTTTGTCAGTATTACCCTTGAAAAAAGCTAACTGGGCTAATGAATGAAGAACATATATTTCATCAACAGCAACTGGATTGTCTTCCTTTGCTTCTTGTTTTGTTGACATTTCCTCTTGTTCAAGCATTACCTTGGCTGACCACTGAACTGAGTTCCTAAGGCTTTGCAATAGCTCATGGATGCCACTAGTGTTCTTAGTGAGAAACTTCCAAGTGCACAGAACATAGTTTCAAAAGCTCTCCTAGAAATAGTAGAAATGACACCCACCTACATGTGAATGGAACATTCTTTAACTAGACAGGAAATCATGATGTGATGGCAAACATGAGGACACTGCACACTATCATAACTCCCACTTTTTTAAAAAAAGTAATTCTATAATTCTATCGGTGCATCAATTGAAATAGTTTAACCTATTGGTGAACCCAGACACTTAAAAATATTTTGTTTTTCTTCTTCCAATCTCTTTCCAGCTCTTCATTAACTGAATACTTTGCTGTACAGAGTAAGAGAAATGTGAAAATGCTCTCCTCATAAGAGACTCTCATTACTAAGAGACATTTCTTAGAGTAAAAAGCAGGTTTCACTTGCGTTCATAAAATACAAAAAGGCTTGTCTCTGTTTCTATTTTGGAGTCGTTTAATTAATTTCAAACCTGGCAAAGAGAGAGATGTCTCTGAATCACAGTTCAAATAGAAAATATGGTAACCCAAAAAAAAAAATGACACTGTAATGTAATAAATTAGATCAGTATCTGCTTGTGATGTATTAGCACTTTACACTAGTCGTGGACAATGCACCTGGCTTTTTTTTGACTATTTCTTTTTCTAATCAGTCAGTTTGTGCTGATCACATAACCTTTGCCAAACTAGTATATAATAAAGCAACTGCCCCATTCAGCTGCTTAGTGATAAAGATTACGACGTGTATCTGTGAGCAGAGGAGACAGCATATAATCAATACATGACATCATCTCTGTTCAATAAAACTGAAACTGCACTGATTTACAGACACTCTCAGTTTGTGTTGCTATGCCATAGAAAAGTGTCTCGGAATACTAATTCAATCTGAAAAGAGAGAAAAGCATCCCATTTATTAAACCTTTCACAAATTATTTCTAAGGAGGGTGCTTCCTTTACTGATATTTGTTTTCTAATCTTCATGGATCTACTGATTCTGGAATTTAATTCAATAGATTAAATCAAAATACTAGAACACTGGCTGGATTATAGAACTATAATATATTCCAAATGCAGGTTGTCTGGAATGAAAGATTAGTAATTTGTATTGGTTCTCCAATATCAGTGTTCTGTATTTTCTCACCTGAAGTATGTTTTAGAACATATGAAGAACATATGAAGAAATTTAAGAGCTTCTGGATTGATTCAAGAATTCAAGAAGCCATCCAGTGTCTCTTATTCCCCTAAAAAGCTGAGAAACCCTTGGGATCTGATCATCAATGTAGCACGAATCAATATTATGGTAATGGAATATTTCATTATTAATTACACAATTATGTATTGCATAGTTAAGTATCATATAACTAAGTAACTATGATACTAAAGAGTGGATAACATCTTCATCAGAGTGTGTAGAGAATGTTTATCTGTCCAAAAATAAACATTCGTAGCCTACATATGTACATATCAACAAACAGTTTGAAATCTCTAATAATTTGGCATTTTTGCCAGTTTGCTGGAGAGATCAAACCTCAAGCCTTCAAGACAGAAAAATGAAAACAGATGCCTTCAAAATTGGTAGCAAATTCAGATTACTAATTGATTAGGCTAGAACCTTCCAAAGTATTGGGATCTCAGGTCTCCATATTCACAGCCAGCTTAGAAGCACATGGGACATAGCACAAGGTTAAATAAGGTTATTCTAGGTATTTCAAATTTGTGTGAAGAGAAGAACTGACAGTAGTGCATTGTATGTTTGTTACTTAATAGGCTGAGGCCCAATGGCAGGCCTGCACTCCACTTCCACATATGAAAGATATCCAGTAAACTTAAGCAGGGGTACCTTCAGCTGCGAGTTCACTTTGGGTATAGTTCTTCTTACATGCTGGAGAATGAGAGATTCAAAATAGTCTAAACAAACAAAGTCTTAATATATTAAGTCAATCAGGCCCAGTTCCAAAATCAGAACTGTGGTTACACAGGTTTAGTGAGTTCTGAAAACAAATAAACAAACAAAACCATGTATAGGAGGTAAAAAGAGAGATTACCAAGGAAGAGTACAGTGAGACAGCCAAAACTGTAGAAATGGTGGCAGAAAACCTACAGCTCAGAATAAGCTGAGGTTGGCAGAGGATGAGAATAACGAACAGGGTTTCATCAGATATGTTTAAAATTAAAGGAATAGAATATCAGCTGCTCAATGAAGACAGCAAACTGCTAACAGAACTATCCAACTTCTGTTTTGACCATGTAATCTCTAACAAGAGGATATATTTTTTAACAGACAATTGTGAAAAGCAAATTGAAGGGGAAGAAATGAAGCTAGAGATTGACAGAAACAAGGTCAAAAAAATATCAATTTACCATGAATAAGTTTAGATGTCTAGGGCTATATGAACTGTATGCTAGGTTTGCTGATGGTCTGCCATGTATTTATGAATTATCCCTGAGAAATCCTTGAGACCTGGTGAAATGCTAGATGACTGGAGGACAAAATTCATCCCTGTGTTCCAAAGGAGGACTCAAGTAACTACAGACCAATCTGATATTGATGTATGGCTGGGAAGACCTAGAGCTGATCATAAAGACAGCAATCTGTAAGCACTTTGAAAACAGTGAAAACAATGAAAACAATGAAGTGATTATTTTCAGCAAAGATTTGTTAATAATAAATCTTGCGAGACTAACCTTATCATGTTTTAATCATATTTCTTAGTAAATTAAAATGATAGGAAAGGCAATTCTGACTGAACATTAGAAAAAATTTTTAACAATATTTTGACAGTGGAATAATTTACCTTCAGAGCTGGTTCTCTCCTTTTCATTCAGTGAGGCCAGAGGATGCGCAGCCACCTGTTAGACCCAAAGATGCTTTAATTTGTATTCCTGCACTGAACTGGATTGTCCCTATCAGCTCTATGGTTTTATACATCTATACAAAAGGGAATCCTGATGGAAAACCTCCATGTGGTTTCCATGGCAGGTTGTAAAAATGGTTTGCTTTTTTTTTTTTTTAACTTCCTAGTCTAGTCAATGGCTCTGGGATTTGCCCAGCCTAGTACTGACAAGAGCTGACACAGTTGGACTTTCAGGATCAGGAACACTGATTCGATACTGTCCTGTTACACAGCTTCTAATTATACAGCAAGCTGAATCCAACTAACTTAAATCCCATGGATTTTAAGGATCCCATTTTATTATTAAATTAGGATCCAGCCCATTGCATCTATATTCTTGACAAGATTTTCTACATTTATCTCACTTACAGATATATGTATTCAGAATCACAGTAAAAATTGAACATTGAGCCAAAGAACCACAAATTCTATTGGCATATGAACTTTCATACTTATATAAAAAGTAATTTTCTGGATGTGGATTTTTTAAAAGCTAGAATGAAAGGAGGGGAAGAAGAAGTTATACCTCAATTTCAGTTCAAAATAGATTTACGCATATAAGTCCTCCAATGCTCTCTATGAAGTTAAAACAAAAACAGTTCTAACACTCAGTATATGTCTATTCAAATATAATAGTTCATGTTCTATTAAAACAAACTTCTTCCCAGTATTCCCAGATGTTTTGGACATCAACTACCCAAATCCCCAGCATGTCTATGCAAGGTGGAGATTATAAGAGTTGAAACCCAACACATCTCGGTACCAGGTTGTGGAAAGCTGCTGTGTTGCATGACAGCCAGAATAAAAATACATCAGTGCCAAAATCACTAGGAAGTAGACCATTTGAATTCAGTAGCTAGGAACTAATCAGAACATTAATTCATAATACCTAAATGACACACTTGTATACTATGTATATTCTGTATAGTAGAACCCATCTTGGAGTACAAAATGGTAGATGGTCACTTCCATGTACTAACATAAACTATCTCATAAATATAACATCAACATTTGGATGTATCTTCAGAGAGCCAATTTCAGGAATTTTGAATTGAAGTGATTCAAAGTCACATTCTGATTGTTGTAAATCTGTGATTTGTGAACAATCTTTTTTGCTCACACAGCAACAGGCAAACGAGGCTCATAAGACAGTCTTTGGGTCAATAAATTACTCTGCATTTACATGGTTCAAAGTTTAGCTTTTATTTAGTTTTAAATTAAAAAAATAAATTTCATTATTAAAGAGTGGAATGGGTCTAAACTAATGTTTACATATTAGTTCACTTGGTTTAGAATACCACCAGAGAAACAATAAAAGAGTACTGTTATCATCCCAAAACAGAAATCTTTTTTTTAAGAAAGGTTGACAGTGGCAGAATTCAGTTTAATTGGAAAAAGTCTTAACATGTTGACCACAAATGTTAGAAGTAAACAGCTGGCATCCGTGCTATCCATACCTAGCAGCCACCTCAGTCTGTCGCTGGGTTTGGGGGCATTATACAACAGTGCTAATGTCATCTGCTTCATCTGGTTTCTTCTGCCTGCTCGGCAGCGATTTCAAGTACTCCAGGTGCCGGCGTGCATCCTCTTGATTTTGCCGCACATAGTAAACTACATAGGATATCACCATGGTGAACCAGCCAAACATGGTGACTAGCATGGCATAATCAGTTGTCTTTTTAGGAAGATTACAGAGGTCAGCATCAGCTGCATTGAGGAACGGCCTCCCAGCATGTTCATCTAAATCGGAGGTCTTACAGATGACGCTGTTGGCTGTTTCATGGTTGGAAGCCATGCTTCTCAAGACTTGCTGCAGGGTGCAATCACAGTGCCAAGGGTTGTTTGCAATTCGAGCCCTGGCCTTTAAGTTGTTAAAAGCATTTTTGTGCACGCTTTTAATCCGGTTGTCTGACAAGTCTAGCATCTGCAAGGTTTCTGCCACCCCTTTGAAGGAGTGCTCATCTATAAATTCAATGATATTTTTGGATAAGTTGAGGACTTTCAATTGGTGCAAGTCCTTGAAAATTTCATTTGGGATTGATGTAATCTGATTGGAATCTAAGTAGAGTAGGACAGTTTCAGGAGGAAGATCTCTGGGTATTTCTTTCAGGTTTGCATTGCTGCAGCTGACATTCAAACCTCCGGAATGAGAGCAAAGGCAACCTTTGGGGCACATACTGGCAGAATGAAAGCACAGTATCATGAGGACAAAGCTTTGTAGAAGCAGACACATGGAGAGGGAGCGAGTTAACCACAGGTCGACCAAATGCATGCTGGGATGTCAGCATAATCACCCAACCACTTCTCATTTACCCAACAGTGGTGGCAAAGCGTCTCAGGAGTAAAACTGCAACATCATTCTCACCAACAATGGAATTCAAGAACAGGTTAATACGTAGACGTCTTCATGGTCTGTTTGCTTTTTAAAAGGAAATTCCTGGAAAAGCAAAACAAAAAACCCTTTTAGCAGATTGGAAGAGGTACCTTTTAAAAAGCGTCAGTATAACTTATGGTGCAAGCCAAGGCATATCTATTCAGAAATAATCTCCCATTATATTCAGTGGGTCTCACTCCCAGATAAACATGTAGAGCAGTGTTGTCCAAACTTGGCCACTTTAAGATGAGTGGACTTCAACTCCCAGAATTCCCCAGCTGGCTGGGAGTTGAAGTCCACTCATCTTAAAGTGGCCAAGTTTGGACAACACTGATGTAGAGGATTGCAGTCAAATGGGAAATCTCAATGGCAAAGTCTATTTTATTAAATGTCCACTGGGGTCACTGTTAGAAATGACCTTAAGATGTTATCTCACTCTAATATCACCATTTCCGAGACAGACTATTTCTTTTTTCTTTTTTTAACACAGGTTTTCTAGAACAGTGGTAATAAAACTTAATTACTTTCTTCCATTTACAGTAGCAGACACATTAATGAGATTTACAGTGGGACTCTAGCAGCAGTGACAAATTAAGCAAGCATTTTTGTGGTTAATGACCTTGCACCACAATGTCCCATATTGCTTTAAATCCAAATTAAACTATTTAAGAGAGGAAGTCCTTTTTTTTTTTTTTTTTTACAAGAATGTACTCATTTTCCAGACAAATCAAATACTGATGAACCTTACGGCATGAGCACCGTTTTTGCATCCAGCTCATTCCTAATTTCTTTTTGCTTTAGAAAAGTGTTGTATAACCTCAGAACAAGCATCCTGGCTGGGAAATTATGGGAGGTGTATTGGAGTGGCCAATCTAGGGAACACTGAATGTTTTCATCTGCTTGTATGGTAAAGAATTTTGCTACAAAAGCTCTAGAAAAAAATCTCAGTGTTTTACATCATTATTTAAAATATAACCTTAAGAAATAAACAAAAAACTCTCTTAATTTTTTTCCAAGGAACTTAATATATTGAAAAGGGAGGGAGTTACAAATAATTTGAACAGAACCTAAAGACAGATTGTGAAATGCTGCAATACGGTAATCTGCAACACAGTATCTTTAATTTCTCCGTTATGAAGTACTATCCATCTTTACAAACATATATATCAATCATATATATCACACATACATAGACCTTTTATCAACAAGCTGAGAAGCGTGCATGTTTTCAAGTTGTATTTAAATATAAATGAAGTTTATTTTAACATATAAGGAAAGAAATACTAGGACTAGGGGTGAGTAAAATATCCACTCTTTTATCTTAGCTGATGGGGAGGACTGAACTGGGTAGATGAAGTGTAAACATTTACCACTGGTAATGTACAGGTTCCCTACTATTGATACACCACACTTATCTTACTGTTTTTGAAAACAACTGAGTAAGGGCAGAAAGCATTCCACTCTTACGGCATCCAACAGTAGTGGCAAGTATTTCCCAACAGATCCTATCTGTAAATGGGACCAGCAGAGATGCTAAGAGAGAAACAATTCTGAACCCCTTTTAATATGAAAACTGTTCTCCAAAGTATGTTTTGGCTTAGCCTTAATGTTCACAAATGTGATGAATAAATACTACACATTAGCAATGATTTATGAATCTTTGAGTTTGAATCAATGATTATTATACCAAGAGAATGCTGTCTCTGACCTAGGTTCTGAGCATTGGGAAAATGGCAAATAACCTTTCTAAATCATTTTTTTTTAAAAAAAAGGAAAAACAGAATATAAAGTAAAATAAGATCCAAGAACCTGTCAGCTTATTGTAGCTCAGTTGCTTTGATGAGGTGCCTTGGAGATTGCTAGGAAGCCTCATAAGCTGCTCCTTTTTTCTGTCAAAGAGGTAGAAAGAGATCTTGCTGAGTGAATCACATGGTGCCATCTCACATCTTATGATCAAGAGATCTTAAAGAAAAGAGAAAGAAAATGATTGTTGATAAGGTTGGGCAAAGTTATTTCTTTAAAACTGAAGAGTAGAACAGTTCTAAGTATTTAAATTGGAAAAATCCTATGACCCATGGAAAACAAGTAAAAACCTATTATTTTGATGAATGGAACATACAGGGTTGTTGCATTAGCTATATCAAAGGAAAGAGAAGTGTCTAGCAGAATGCTAAGTGAAATGTAAAGTTTGGTACTGTAATGACTTTTGAGAACATGGCATTAAAAGGTAAGATATCCAAGATATCTCAAAACATTAAGCTACATGCTGGAAGAACTAAAGATGTGTTCTATATAATTTTGATATGCGAGTGTGTGTGTGTGTGTGTGCGCGAGAGAGAAAGAGAGAGAGAAATGGTGAGTGTAGGGCTACCAGATTTGGGCTGCATAAATCCAGATGACAATTAGATTGCAGCAAAGAATTGGCGTTTTCTGTATCTCTTTACAGCCTTCTCAAAATGAATTTGGATTGTCTCAGCCAAGAATATAGGTAGCCCCAAATGACTTCATTACTATAGACAAATCTTTCAAGGAAATCCTGGTGAATCACACTCCTACCAATGAAACTCTACACACACAAAACCATAAATCCTTCCTGCCCCTGCATTAAAACAGGTAACTTCTTATCCTCCAGTCTCACACCCAACTTTTGTCATGTGATATACATTTAAAGAAAAATCAAATTATTTAAAGAACTTAAACTTCATGTTGAATTTTTTGTGTGTGTGAAAGAATTCAACAAATAAGACTTCAGATTTTCTGTTTGCATAAGGCCCCCGACCCTGTCAGCCTTTTGTAGGGCTCTGAAGATGAGGCTGTTCCTCCTCCAGGCTTTTGGGCCAGACAGGTAAGCCCCGTTGGTGATATGGTTTTTGTATTGAGGGTTATTGTTTAACCAGGGTGTCATGGGTTTATATTGTTATGTTGGTTTTAATCTTTGTACGAGGCCCAGAGTCACTACTGTGAGATGGGTGGCTCTATAAATTACATAAATCAATCAATTAATCAATCAATCAGTATTAGGATCTAGGGAGTATGTCCGAAATTAAATCCTGACAGAGTTCTTCTATGAAAAGATCTTTATCAATAACTCAGTTATCACCAACTCAAAAAAAAAAAAAATCAACTGGATAAGGCACAAGTTCCAAATACAAAAGCAAGAGCTACGTGCTTCTCCTCTACAGAATTCCTGCAGAGTTCAGTTTCACATTTCTCAATTCCAACACTTACAGTTCCGACATACAAGCAAGGAGTTGCAGTTTAAGACAGTGTAATATTTGAAAGCTGCTTAATTATTCCCCTTTGCTGTTATTTGGGGGGGGGGGCTGCACTTAGTGCAAACACTGCACTAAGCTATATTTGTTTTAATCATGATTTAGGATAATGACTGCCAGATAGTGGTTAAGGTGCTGATCAAGGAATAGGGAGACCTATTCTAGTTCCAGTCCACCCTCAGCCATGGAGGTCCCCTGGGTGACTCTGGCTAGTCTATCTTTCAGCTCAACCTACCCCACAGGGTTGTTGTTTAGGAAAAATTGGAGGAGGGAACAACTATGTATGGTGCCTTGAGATTCTGGGAAAGGTAAGGTATAAATCTAATAAATAAATGAAATGCCAGTGACATGATCTTCAGAGGATATTGAGTTTGAAAATTATAGCTAGGTTCACGTATCACACTAAGCCAAAACAAGACAAACCACATTATTGCTTATTAAGATGCAGAAACCCAGTCTCTGTGGATTTTACCTGGTATTTCACTAGGGGTATGAGAGGGAATTTCAGCGGATGTCTGCATATTTAATTTATGAATATGTAAACCCTCAATGTAATTTTGCTTTAACTGACTTTGAATGCAACAGACCAAAGCTGTCCATTTACTGTATGTTCTGCATGTATCTAAAATCCTGCTTTCTATTTTATGCATGCTCAAAGTGCATAAAATACATAAAATTTGCATGCACAAAATCCCATTCAGTCTCCATGTACATTCTGCTTTACAGAAGATCCCTTCTTCCCTATTAGGTAATGACTAATCAATTAAATCAAGGGTTTATGTATATTTATCATTTCTAAATACATGTGTGTGCATGTGTGTGTATTGGGTATATAAATTATAATTGTATAATATATAAGTTATATAATGATGGCATACTATTGACTAGCTATTGGTAGCCTGGCCTGCAGGTGTGTGTGTGTGTGATAAAAATCCAGCATTACCTCACCCCCCCCCAAAAATTAAGTATGACAATAATTATTCATGCACACCTATTACAATCCTTGTTGAATGCGTATCTGGAGTTATGAAATAAGACTAAAACAAGCAAACTTGAATATTTCATTCTCTTATGAAGTATCAAGAATCTAAATACTGTAATATATGCACAGCAGAGCAGATTATGCTGTTAAAAAAAAAAACAATCAAATGAGAGAAAATGATATAAAATGAAATACTTCCAAAATGTAAAAATCAATCAGTCAATTCAGAGGGGCTCAAATAACAGCAACCATATTTAGAGAAGGAAAATAAATAACAGCAAACATAATTAGACAGAGGAAATTGCACATCACCATTACATTCATTGTGAAAATGTATCTGTGAAAAATGTGGTCAGATTGTATTACACAGCTTCTGCAATCTGACCACTCTTGTGATGAGCAGGATTTTAACTCCCAATGTACTCAACTAGGGTGCTGGCTAGAGGCATGAGGGCTCGGGGATCAACATCTGGAGGGCATCAGGTTGGAAAAGGTTGCAGTAACATAAAATAGCAAATAATTCCAGAATACAAAACAGGCATACTTCTACTTAACAAATAAATCTTTAAAAATGGTAACTTGGTAGTGTTTGCCCTGGTGTCTTACATCCAATTAAGGGCATCTCTGGGAGGCGGGGGGAATGGTCATAACAGCCATGTTGACTTTTTTAACCCTCCCCTGTGGACACTTCTGGATTGAAACCCCTCACAGAAAGGGAACTGTAAAACAAATCACTTCAGAAATGAATTATTTCAGAAAAGAGAACCATAAAAAAAAGTAGCACGTAGACCTCAATTACACTAATAGAACCAAGTATTCAAGCTGTGCTGAGTTCAGGTAAAAATGTTAAAATAGAGATTTTAGGAGAATGAAGGTCCACAATTTACTAATTTTTAAATATACAATTCATTCTATCTCAGGGATGTTCTGCACATTTTGTAAAATTTTATTTCTACTGATCAATCGATGGATAGATAGATATTTCAATCAATTTACAAATTGATTGAGAGGGGCCATACCAGATCAAGAAGAGAACAAGGACTGTGAACTATGTGATTAAGTCTCCAAAAATCTGATTTAACCCTCAGATCTACTACATGAATACTTTTAAGCCCTGCCATGGATGAGAAACTGCTGAGTTTAATATGACAGGAGATCTAGTGGAGGAAATAAGCGGTCCTGGTATCCGTTCGGAAACTGGCATGAGGGCAGAACAGCTGAGATGCCACAGCCCCCTAACCTCTCACAACGACAGAAGTCTGGCAACAATGCAATTGATTTGCTGCCCAGTTCATGGCATGAGCTGGATACACCATCCTAGCCACCCATTCCGAAAAAGGATGCTATGCTATTATCTACCCTTTGGAGATGGCATCCAGCTTTATCTGAGGAATTGCTAGTTTTGAGTTTAGGACAGATCATGCATCCCTCCAATGGCTACAACATGAGAAAAACAAGTTTTGTAACAAAAAGAAGTGCATTGGAATTTGGCTCTGCAAGAAGTTGACTTCACTGTTGTTCATTGTGGCAGATGCTCTACGCAAGGGGCTATATTAAAACAGCCCTGCAGTTTATGAATCTAAACAGGACATACATGCTGTGCTATTATTTCTATAAAGTTTACTGTTATAAATGTTAACTTGCTGCTAAAGGTCTGGTCTGGGTTTAGAATAAGTTTCCTTTTATATATATATATAAAATAATTTTATTAAAATTTTTTAAAAGGAGATAGAAACTAACAAGAACTAATATAAAGT